GGGGGGCGCGGCGCGTCCCGGCGAGGTGCGGGGTCGCGCAGGTCCGCGAGCCGGGCCTCTCGCAGGAAATCGGACCGTCCTGGGAGTATCCTGTTTACTCCTTTCGGGCCGGGAAAGAGAGGGTGGCCTGAACCGCTCGGCCGCGGGAGCCCCGGGAGCCCCGGGAGCCCCGGGAAGCGCGGGCCCGGGTTCCCGAAGGAAGGGTCAGCGTCTGCTAGGTCCGGCCGCCGCGGGCCGCGGCCCCACCCCGCCCGTCTGCTTCCTCTCTCTTCCTGCCCCTGCTCGGAGTCCCTGCCCGTCCTCTCGTAAAGATCACAGAGCCGGGAGCGCTGGGCTGGGTCAGTGGGAACCACCCGGCACCTTCTCTCCAAACCTCTCATCTGGCCGGGCCCGAACGTGTTCTTAGGTGGAAACCCCTGTTTATCCCGCCTCCGGGCCACCCCGCCCATCCTGCCCATCCCGCCCAGACGTCAGCTTAGAGCCAGGACTGGCAGTGGTCCTTAGTGGAGATGCTGGAAAGTTTTCCGTTAATCGCCAATTTCGGAGTGTTTTAGTTAGGAAAGTCAAAGGCATTCTAAAAGCTTAGGGATTTTGAGGAAAATTCTCACATGCAAGAGAGAAGAGAAAGATGGGGTGGGCCTTTGCAGGCAGAGGCAAGGCACTGTAGTGCTTCAGCCTCTGCTTTGCTGGCCTGGCTATGTGTGGACAGGATTACCGGAGTGACAGGTACCCACGGGGAGAATCCGGGGCAGGTGAGGGACCATGGGTGCGGGCACTACAGTGGACAGGAAAGTCGTGTGGGTGCAGCCAGTTCTATGAGAGGTGGTGCAGTTACGCTCATGAGACTAGGGAGAGGGCAGCTGTGGGGTCAGAGTTTAGGAAGGGTGTCGGATGAAGGGGGAACTGTCTGGGGAACTGTCACCTTTGTTTAAGCCATGTTTACATGGGCTGCTTTGGGAGTGGCCCCTTTGGGGTCCTCTGGGAAGACGTTCGCTGTCACCTTGTTTTCCAGACTTTGAGGGAGGGTAGAAATGACGTTACCGGTGGAGGGAGTGAGGTAGGGAGCTGGTTGGGGTAGAGCAGCTAACCTTTGTCTTAGACAGCAGTGTCCAACATAGGCATGGCCGTTGGGTGGTTAGGTGGTGACAGAGGGGGCCAGGGAGGAGGCACAGAAGACAGGAGACAGGAAGGTCAAGAGGGGAGAACCCCACAGAGGGGTATCCAGCACCTCTGGACTGTCTGTGCTGGGAAATAAATAGATGAGAGTCATTTTGGGCACTGTTCGGGGCTGTCCAGGTATATCAGGAAAGGGATTGCATACTGGAAGAGCTGAGAGCTGAACAATGACTTGTACAATGATGTGGCCTGGTCTAAGGGGCTCAACCAGGAAGGGGAAGTACGTAGGAGTATGAACAATGGGAGACTGTACCAAGCCCTACGCCAGGAGTGACAGAGCAGGGGCTCTAGTTATGGGATAGGAGGCACCTGTCCAGACCAGTGGCCTTAAGTAGAAACCCGTCTCTGGGACTGACCCGTTTCTCTTTCTCTCCAGTGATTTCTCACTAGTGGGTCCCACTGACCAAACCAGTGGACGCTCTAGGGTAATGGTGATGCCTCCCTCAGTGCTGCCTGCTCCCACTAGGCCCTGCAGACTGCAGGCTGGATAGGGAGGGGTCTTGGGAGATTCCCAGCACCAGGGGCTCCTTGGCGTGGACCTACAAAAAAACAAAAGAGATTCAGGTTGTTACCTCCGGTGCCCACTCTTAATCTTGCACTCCTCATGCTCTACCCAGCTAAAGAGTGATTTATGACCCTTTGCCAAGAGTTTACGGCTTCAATAAACACGGGCCCTTTAAACAGGGATTAAAGGATCAGCCTACTTATTATAATAACCCAGAGTAGGAATCAGGAATTTGTGGTTTGGAGGCACCCTGTGGAGAAAACTCCAGCAAGTTACCTTCCTCTGAAACTCCAGTGACTCCAAACAAGCCTTTTCCACTACATTCTCTAAAGCAGCAAAACCTTGGACGCTGAGAGAAGCCCACCCCCACACCCCAGGCCCCAGGATACAGCTGTAGGACACTCCTTGCTGCTTTCCTCACTACCTGTCACAGCAACATGGGAACACCTGTCTTATACCTTTTAGAGTCAACATATAAAAATTCAGTTGCTTTTAACATCAGTAATTAACAAAAACACATTGAAATGTGAAAAACTAATATATGCAATAACACCAAAAAATGTCAAATACTGAGAGTCAATCTTACAAAAGCTGTGAAAAACTACTAAACATTGTCTCAGGAGACACAGATCTGAGATGTACTTTATTAAGATGCTAGTTGCTCCCAAATAGACCTTCAGATTCCTTGCAGTTCTGATAAAAATTCCAGCTAACTTTTTTCTGAAATTAAGCTGATGATAATATATATATGGGAAGGTAATGGATCTAGAATATCCAAAACACCTTTGAAAAAGAATGCATTTCAAATACTCATATTACAAAATCAAGATTTATTAAAAAACTATAGGTATCAAAGTAGTGTGGTGCTGATGAAAAAGCAGATAGAACAGTTAGAATATTCAGAAATAGACCCTCACATATTAGATTATTCACAATGATACAGGGCAGTTCAATGGAAGAAAGTCAACTTTTTCTTCCTTCCTTTTTTTTTTTTTCTTGCATAGAACTGGGGTATCACTTCTCAGCCTTTTGGCTAAGTTCAAGTGTAGAAGAACTGGGGTATAGGTCAGAGGTGGGGAGAGGATTCCCCAGAGACAGAGTGAGGAGCAAGAGCAGGTGGATTGACTGAAATACATTGCTGAGGGGAGCAGGCGGCGAGACAGGATTGGTCTGCCGTGCCATATGAAGATTAGTGCAGGCCATGGCAGTTATAGCTCTGAAACTTAAACCCTAGGCCACCAGGGAGGCCCCTCTCAACAAATTGGATGACCATATACAAGAATCCCAATCAAACAGAGACCCAACTTCCAATACTTTTCTCACTCCATATACAAAAATCAACTCATGATGAAACATAGACTTAAATTAGAAAATGAAGACTAGAAAACTTAGAAAACAGGACGAAACCTTAGGGATTTAGGACTTGGCACCATTTTTTAAAAATACATTAAAAGCATCAAGTAAAAGGAAACAAAAGTCAACAAGCAGCACTTGATGAAAAATTTAAAACTTTTCCTCTTCAAAAGACTGTTATGAAAAAGAAAGAGGGAGAAACAGACTGGAGAAGGTATTTGTAAAACACTCATTCAACAAAGGCCCTGCATCCAGAATATACCCAATATACATTTTTAAAAGTTGACCTGGTTAGGGTTTTAGATTGTTTCCACAGATCAGGATGACTCAGCGGGCATCAGGGCACAGTGCAGGGAGCGCTGGGGATCATCCGTGACAGGATCCTATCACAGACTCTCTCCCACATTTTAGCTGAGAGTTTGTGAGCAGTTACTTAGTGCTCTGAGTCTCTTCCCCAACTGTAAAGCCGAAACTCTCATTCATTCAGCAGATACTGGCTGAGTTCTTACCATGGAGGAGACACAGTACTAATAAGGTTCTAACTTTACTGCTTGGTCCTGGATACATGCATTAAAAAAAAAATGTGTGTGTGTGTGTGTGTATACTGTTCAGGAGGGTGCTGGAATAGCAGTCTGAGAGTACCATCTCTCTCCAGATGTTTGGGCTACTAAACAAGAATAAGATCTTATTCTATGCCTATTTATCTCCATCTATGTGTATCCTGAAAGCTTCCCTGAGTTACGGAGGGATGGCTTAGACACTATTATCTAAACACTTTACCAGATACGGAAATGTTTACAGCATACTAAAAGTGTGTGTAAGGGGTCATGGAAGGCTGGAGAACCCTATTACACATTATCAGCAACAGAACAGCAGAGACCTACCAGGAGTGACTGGTGATGCCCCACTAATCAGGGCAGGTAACCTATCCTAGTAGAGTTAGGAGCTAAGGCACAGCCTGAAATTGGAGCCAGGGGATATGTCAAGTCAGGAACCAAGCCAAACTGGGGACCCAAGCCAAAGCCAGACAGGCCACCTGCAGGCCAGGAGCCGCAGACAGCTCTGAATTGCCCCTGGTGAGGGACAAGGGTCAAATGTCTGTAGGGCAAGCCCATCTCACCCTGTACTGGTAAGATAATGCCAGTGACCAGGATGATGAATACTCTGAGGGAAAAGACAACAATTTCACCTGGACATGCCAAGTCTCAAATGCCACACAGAGGCTGCCAGGCTCCTGGACAGGCAGACAGGCTGTCAAAGCTGTAGATCTAAGTTGAGTGTCCCCCTATCAAGGTGATGGGGAAACTGGCCTTGGAAGAGAGAAGAACGGAGGACCCAGACAGAAACTTGGAGTGAGCCACACACTGGGAGAACACATTTGTAAATTTATCCCACAAACAACATGGCATCTAGAACATGCCAAGTGTACATTTGGAAGACAACCTGGTTTCAGATTCTTCACACAGGTCAGGATGGCTAAAGAGCAAGACCATGTAAGGATCATGTCAGGACTTGCAGTGATAAGATCTGATTCTGAGCCTGTATTTGGCTGCGT